TATTTTGTTGTACAACCCCACTGCGTCATTAAGTTTACACATATGTACAACACGCATACATACATATTATGTATGTGTATGCATTTTAAGAAGAAAAATACATAAAAAAAAGTTTTTTTTTTTTTGTTATTTAATTTTATAATTTTCAAGAGGAGAAAAAAATTTCTTTTTTGTGTGCTTTTTTTTTAATTAAATTAAGATTTTTTTTTTGCTCAAATAGTTTTTCTCTCACTCCCGGTTTTGCTGGGAAAGAGAGATATTTTTTGTGTGAGTGGAATAAAAAATGGAACATTAGATTTTTAGGATTTGTTTTTTTGTTTTTTTGTATTTTTTTCTTCTTTAGCAATCACTAAAAGTTTATTGAATTTGTAGGAGTTTTAAAAATATGATAGTGGAATTTGTGCTTTAAATTTGGAAATATAGCAAAATAAGGCAATAATCATTAAGCTACTATAGATAGTTTAAATCTTAATTGCTTGAAATCTCATTAGACATATTTGTTTACGGAAAATCTGTGTAATATTCTATCATCGTTAGTTTAGGAACTTTTAAGTGTTAATCGCATAGGTATTTAATATTAGTTTAAATACGTAACGCTACTACATAGACTAAATACGTAACGCAATATGACGTAAAGTAACGTAACGTATCCCAACGTAATACAACGTAACAAAATATAACACAACGTATCGCAACTAAATACAAGGTAGCACAATATAATGCAGCATAACGCAACGTAACGCAATATAACGCAACTTAACAAAACGTAACGTTAAGTTAATAGCAGATAGTGCTGTTTATCAGTAACTGGTAATGCTATTTTATAACCACTTGCTTTTATCATCAGTATATCAGTATATGAGGTCTCCTATGTGATTTTAGTCTAGTTTGAGGAATAATTTTTTTTTTATTTTCTACATTAAGGCTCGAGAACTGATCTTTATTAATTTATAATTGTCAAAGTTTTTTAATTTGGTTTTCATACGTAATTGAACATCGTTCGAAAATCTATATTATTCTCTAAAATTATAAAAGCAAAAATATATTGTTGTTCTCTTAGTATCGTAGCAAATAAGCAAATTAAGAAGCAAATTAATTTAACATTAATACTTTAGCATACAAGATGCACTTACAAATGTTAACTTATCATTGTGATTGTGAAATAAATCAAAGTGACATGAGACATTATAAATACGTTAATTTATTTTTTAATCATTTACATGTTTTAAAATACATTTAAATAAGTGTAATCATGAACAGAAACCTAAAACGACAAATGCAAGTCGAGAAAATTACGATAAGAAGAAACTGGTAATAATAATAGTGTTTAGGCGGTTAGGTGGTTGTCTAATCGCAATAGTTACAAACCTTGATAATTTTTTTTGTTTCTATTTGCTGCTTTTTCTCATTTATTCTGTTTTTGTTGGTTAGAAAATATATTTTGAAAAATAACTTTTAAGTATTTTACAACAATTTAAAATATAAAAGATTTTTTTATACATATAAGTTTTTTTTTAAAGGATCATAATGGATATCCTTGAATTCTCTTTCTTTTTTTTTATATTTTTGCTGTTCTTATTTAAAATAAGTTTAAGGAAAGGGTTAAAAATATTTCTTTATACCAACACTAAAGTATTATCCACTTCTACATAGTTGTGTAGTTTAGTGTAGAAAATTTAAGATTTATAATTTTCCTTAGAACAAAAACACAAGAAAAAAAAAGGCAAATATCTACTTTAAAAATATTCTTATATTTCAATTATTTTTCTTTTTTAAAGAGAAAAGAAAAGCAAAAATTAAAAATAAAACGAAGAATAATAAAAAAATGGTGTCATATTATCCTTTTATGAAAAAAAAAGCTCAAATTTGCTGCCTAGCGTAGTACAAAATGAATTGTTTCGAATTGTCTTTGGTATGTACTTTGTTTTTTAGAAATTATTTTGAGAATAGACAATTTTCCGAAAATCAAAACTGTTTCTTGAAAAAATATTTAGTTTGTCAGTCAGTTTTATGTTAGTCAGTTATTTATGTTCCTAGAATGAGAAATGAATATTTTGACTTTTTAGTCAAAATCATATCGATTGTGATTTTGAGATTCGTATTGCACGCAGGTTGGTGTGGCGCTTAAATCGCATACTAAAATATTGATAACATTATTTTAAATTTCATTAGCAATTCAGTTATTTTATATTTTGCTAAAGATTTCTTATACAAATTTATTTATTTAAAAATGTTGTGTATTTCCGGGAGATGAAACCAAATTTTTAACTCACTTTTGGTTCCTAGTTAATGAAAAAAAAATTTCTAAATAAATGACGTTCTTTTTACCGAAAACAATTTATTAACGAACCTTGAACGAGAATTTGAATTATGTATGTGTTTGAGAAAATTATATTAATTATAAAAAAAATTGCATACTTCAAGGTGCAGAACTAAATATAAAAGTTGTATTGCAATGAAATTAAATAAAAAAGTGTGAACTACTGTTATTGCAAAAGCGATGGAAATTATTTATTTACTTCATTCTTTTCTTTATTTCTTTATGTGTATATGCCCTTGGGAATTTGTTTTATATTTTATTTGTGCCAAAGGAATCAAATCGTAGATGAAAAAATAAAAGAAAAGCAACAAAACAAAAATAAGGGTTTCATTATCTAACAAGATATGTAGTACTTTTACTGAATATTAATATGGTATATAAAAGAGACAAGAAAATAAAAAATAAAAAGAGAAAAGGGTGGAAAAACAGTACATCAGTTGAAAAGGTACATCTATAGTAAGAGTCAATAGAAGAGAAAAATAAAAATTAGTATCCCAATTTTTTTTTTTTTCTTCCAATGCATTATTATTATAGAAACGTTGTGTTTTTCGACACGCAGCAATAGCTCTATTATACGATTGGTCAATTATTTTTTAGTACATACATCCATTCTTTCCGTTTTTTCGAGACCCTAAAACTTTTTTTCTATACGAATCCTATTTGAAATCATTATGTGAAATTTGAAAGTTATTACAAGCAATTTAAAGATATTATAATAGTTAAGTTTTTTTAAGTTGAATACAAAATATAAGATTTTAATAGAAAATTTTACAGAAATTCCAATAATAATTTATTATTATAGATTTTAGCACTTAAATTTCCCTTTAAATTTTATATTATACGGTAATTGATAGCCAGGATTATGAAATTAAAGTTTGATAATCATTTTTAATGTATTGTAATGTAATGAAAATTTTGGGTAGATTTTATGAGATTTTTGTATAGGGTAAATTATGTTATTATACGTTATATTTATTATAAGATGTAAATGTGATTTGTAAAGCTGCTATGTTTCAGAAATGGTAAATATTCAATGTAAAATTTCAATATTAACCTTAATTGTACGTATTCAGCTTCCTATATGATATACGTATTTCTATTCATCTCAAGGTTAATGAAAGTTTCTTCTATGAAATACGTACTTCTATTCAGCTGAGTTAAAATAAAATGATCACTAATTAAGGTCAATGATGGAAACTTAATAAAATCAAGTTAATTACATTCCTACCTCGATAATTTATTCCTACGACAAAAATATAATGACTCACAAAACTTGCTACCATTTAAGTTTCAAGATTAATAATTTTGAATTGAATTACTTTAAAAGCCTACATATTCTGAGTAAGGTGAAAACTATAGTGTACAATTCTGATTTCAAATCCCTTTATAAATTAGTTGTAAAGAACTTTTGGGCTTAAATTTCGAAATTAATTTTTGTCACAGGAGTGAGATACCTAGATTATTGTCGTTGAAATAAATATGAATTTATGTGACTGCTTGATGTGAGGTTAGGGTTATGGAGATCCAGCTGTGTCATAACTGACCCCATCTGGCCTATGTTTGCATTATTGCAGACGTGTTAATATAAATTAACTTAATCTAAATGGTGGATTTTAAGTATGATTTCAGCTGATCCCTTAGAAAATATTTTACTCCAAATTGATTTATTCGTTGTTATTTTCGTTAAAAGAATATCATAATACTAGAGCTTGTGTATAACATTGAGCAAATAATGTTTATGGTTGGTGAAATTTATAAACTGTGGGCTATATTTAACAAATATAACGCAGAAGAGAGGAAATTTTTATCTAAAATTTAGATACAAAACGTTTTCACATTTTCATCTTTTTTCCGTTTTTTTTGTTTTTCTCTCCTTTTATCTGTCATAAAACACATGTAACAATTATTATTCATTTTCTTTCTTGTTTTGTTGTTTTTGTTTTTTTAGTATGGTCCATACAATTTCTAAAAATTTTTCATGTCTAGTTGCGTTTATTGTGTTTTATTTTTTGTCTTATCTAAATTATAAGATCAGACGAAAAATAAACGTTTTGTAAATATTTTATGTAATAATATATTAGAAATGGAATTTTTTAAATTAGTGATGGGACTTGCCGCTTTTTGGTACGGATTCAAAATTGTTAAAATAATTTCCAAGAAAATAAGAGACCATTATATGAATAGAAGAGTAATGCGGAATTCTTATTGTATTTTAAATGGTTTTTATGTTATGTTAAGGCGCTGTGTCTTGTTTAATATTTTAATCTATGACTTTGTTCTGTGTATTAATAATTCACATCCTGCACACTATTAATTACATATTATCTCATTTCTGTATTGATTACGTTTTGTTTGTCTCCGAAAAATTTTGTTGAACATCAACTTAAGAGCTGAAGAGTTTCTAAAGAATACAGAAAACAGTTAAGTATAATTTAAGTTTATTGAACAGTTTAGATTTCTAATGAATCACAGATAGTTCAATAGTTTTTAAGTTTTAGTCCCCAATATAATGGTGAATAATATAAGGTGACTGCTTTGTTCTGTATGAATTGCAAAATTACAAATTACGGCAACCATATACAGAGAAATTTGCAACAATATTCTATTTTATTTCATTTAATACATACTTATATACCTGCATAGAATTATAACTATATTTCTAATTATATATAAATTCATTCTTTCACAAATTGGAGGACAAAAGTATGTATTCAATTTCAACAATTAATTTTTACCATACTTACGTAATAACATAAATTTTTTGATACCTATTAAAACTTTTGGTGCTTAAAAGTTCTAATGCGAATAATAAAAACGTACATACATTAAAACATACAATAAATAAATAATTTTCCTAAAAATTTTTATTATTATTTTATATAATTATATTGAAAAAGAAATAAGTATCCTTGAAATAATAATGGTGATTTATAAAAAAATTACATAGAAAATAAAAATAATAAAAAAATAGAAAATAATATGAAAAATTAGAAACCGGTGTAATAATTTATGCTTGATAAATTCATTGAAAATCATAATCACTTCCTAACAATTTCCTTGGGAACTTTACTTGGTTTTCGTTGTTGTTTTTCATCTCATTTTTCTCGTAGTTCATTTATTTTCTCTTTTTATTTTTTTTAATACCTAGTAATAATTTTTATATTTTTATTTTCATTTATTTTTCTTGTTGTTTTGCTTTTTTATTTTGACACTCATAAAATCTTTATGTAGGCATAATCATCGTCATCATTCGTTTTTTATTATTACTAAATCAATCATTATCAACAATATGAAATTATTGTATGTGATGAAATTTAAATTGTGGCTGTTCACAATGTTACTGTCCCAATTTATTAGATATTTTACGAATGTAAGTATGTAAGCATTCATAGGATCATCGTATTACGTTTATAGTATTAATTCCAAAAACTATCATTTCAGTCGCAAACAATCGCTTATATAAAAATCCATTACCCTATGAACACTATTATAATTTTCATTAAAATACAATAACGCGACGAATAAATACCGTATATGTATGTCCTTTATAATATTATATAAAATATAGTAATATTATATGCTATTTATTATAAAATAGCAATTATTGTGGACACTGATGGAAACTCTGTTATAATAGATGTGTCGGTGTTATGTTTTAAGAAAAAAAATTTTGTCAGTGTAGTGGAGCTCAGGAAATTTTTGGAGCATAGCCGATTATCGCGAATAATTTCATGGTTTTAATACAACAAATTGTTATATTTATTTTATGTTATATTCATGAATTGTTATATTATATACACACACATATACATAAATGTACTTATACATTCCACGTTATGCATAAATGTGTGTGTATATATTCGCAAATATGGCTGTAAAGGGCACTAAAAATGAAATAGAAAAAAAAATCATTTTTCTTTAAACGTTCTTTATTATTGTTTTTAATAAAAATTTTTCTAAGGATATCGTAATGAGCTTTCATGTAAAAAATTATATCCTTTATACACGAAGAAAAGTGGTTAGAAAATAACAAAATTCTTCTCTTATTTTGTCCTCTTTCTCGTTCACTCCTTGCTTCTCTTTCTGTCTTGTGTTTTCTTCATTTTTTCCCCTTTTGTACCATTTCGATTTTTCTTTTCTTTTCATTATGACTTCTTTTTTTCTTTTTTTCTTAAAGAAAATTTTTATCCAGGGTAAATGCATAATCACAAATGAAGGTAAATGAAATGAAGTTGTAAACAAGAAAAATGTGTTTTTAAGGAAAATTTTCTATTAATGTGACTTCAATTTGAAGAGAATAGAAATAACAGGAATGAGGGAAGGAGAAAATCGAAAACAAAAATGAAGAATAAAAAAAAATTAGAACTAAGAAACATTAGATTTGATTTTTATATTTTAATTTCCATATTTCTGTCTTTGTCTGATTCCAAACTGCCATTCTGTATACATTTAAATACAGTATTAGCCCGTTAAACTTTAAATATGCGTAACGAATTTGAATAATTTGCCATCATAACTTGTAAAATGTAGTGGAAATATAAAAAAACTTCATTTTCAACACATTGTGTTGAATTGTGATTTGTTGCTACAGTATCTAGTTACTGTGTCTGAATGCAATACAATTGCATTTATCAGTTTAACGCCTGGAACCAGTTATTAATCTACAAGCTAGGTCGATGTATTTGAAAACCAATAAAATTAAATTCACTGCTAATACAGGTTAAACGTAACTCATGATTTGCAATTGTTATTAATATTTAATAATTTGGATTTCGTTCATTTGTATATTTCAAAATATATTGTCCTTATGTAAGCGTATCTCATTTTTCCATTACATTAAACGAAATAATATTTGACCGAGATTGACTCTATAGAAAACTAAAATCGCAAACAAGAAGAAGAGTAAAAATTTCAAAGAAAAAAAATGGGTCACTGTATAGTTTGAAGTGTTACTGTATAAAGAGATTTTGTAAATTTTTGTGAGTAAATGTGAGATTAGTCAGGATAATAAACTTAGAATGAGTATTTTGATTAAGTATTGATTTTAATACATTGATTATATGTATGTACACGTATGTATACTCATTTTGTGATATTTATATAAAATTTACGTATAAGAAAGAATTATGTATTTATTGTTAACTAATTTCAATATGAAAATGGAATGGTTAATGGATATTTACAATATAAGTATACATATTTTTTTTTCTTTTAATGAAACTGTAATGTTAAAGTAAATTAATATTGACAGGAAGAATATATAAGGGTAAGAAAATCGAATAAGTTCAACCAAATGAGTAATGAGTAAAGTTTATGGATAATATAAAATCGTCTTTAAAATCTATGTAGATATAATATAGTTATATAAGTCAAGACAGGTTAGTACTTATAAGGATTGAATGTTTTTGAAATTATTACAAATTATTAAATATTCTCAGTTCTAAATATTCATACAAGAACCTTGAATAATTAGCGTTATTAACGTTTAAAAATTAATTTAATTTTTTATTTCAATAGGATTCAGAAATTTCAACGAACTATATATGAAAATTGTTGTTGCTAAACACAATAAAACCGTATTTTTATAATAGTTTTTAAAAAATTGCATTAAAAAATCACAAATACACCTTATAATTTTAAAAATTATATAAAAGTAAGTGTGAATAATTTACACTGCAATTAATTATGTAAAATATTTAAAAAATTCTATGCACAATTTTATAAAATTTAAATTTCAAATCCCTTTATACAAATTAAAATTGTAATTAGATTAAATTTTCTAAATGAATGTTTTTTAATTAATGGTTGATTCTCAACTTCCTCATTCACTTACCAATTTGTCTAATGATAATTATGTTTTAAAATTATTATTATTATTTAAATAATAAATTATGAATTATTTCAAAAAAAAAATTTATCTGAAATTTTATGAACTAATTAAAAGCCATTTTTTATATTAACGCGTGCACATAATTAGTATAATAATTTCATATTAGAAGGTATAATGAAATAAAAATCGTATTTAGGTTTTTTTTAATTTAATTTCCCATTATATAAAATGTTATATAATAATTATTCTAATACATTTTCTAAATACCATTGAAATATAAAAATATGACACGTAAATATTACGTATTTTACACTGTCAGTTTATTTAATTTTCAAAAAATTAATAAAGTTCAATAAAATAATTAATAAAGTTGGGTCAAACCGAATGGTTTGAAAAGTAGAATTTTTCTCTTCAACAACTACTGTTAAAAATAATCTATTACATTATTTAAATTATATACTTTCACTCATACACCAAAATATATTTTAAAGATTGCCTACATTTAGGATGAAAAAAAAAATTGAAAGAGGCGTTTATATAATGCTCGAATTTAAGGATTAGCTTTGTGATTTAAGAAAAATAATTACTTTTTTAATAGGATGGTATTTACAGTTAGCTTCTTGTATTTATAGAAATTTAAAAAAGATTGCAGTTTCGTAGATATGAGAAGCGAAAAATTTGAAATTTTAGAAATTCCAAGAGATAATTTAAGTGGAAAAAATTTTCTTCCGACGGAATAAACTATTTATTAATTTTATTATTGAGAGTTTCCAAGGGCTTCTACAACATATTTTCTAAAGAAAAACGATATCAAAAATTTTTAAAAGAAACAGGTTTTAGATAACAGTTCATTTAAAAAGCCATTTTCTTTTTTTTTTTAAAGTTCAACCATACTATGCTGCGGTACAAGAATCCCATCACTATTTTTCTGCTTTTTAAGAATTTAAAAATTGTTTGTTCTTTCATTACAATAAATAGCTACTAACGTCCGTCCATTGAAATATTGAACGATGGACAGATTGAAACTAATAAGCGCTTTGTTTCAAAAATTTTTTTGGAAAAGTTCTAAAAATTATATTTTATTCTGAAATCATAAAATTCTATAGAAATTAATTATTAAGAATTTTTATTGCTATCAAAATTTTGAGGAAATATTATGGTATTGATAAGGCGAATTAATATAATTTTTGGTTAAATAGACCCACATTTTTGAATAAAATATTTTTTGGATTCATGATTGTAATTTTTCTCAATATGAGTACAGAATTAGAACGAAGAAATATAGCAACAAACCAAATTTAAATCTGATATTAAAAAAAGACTTGAGGAAGAAATTTTCAATTTTCTATGGTTATTTGACAATAAATGTGCTCAAAAATATGGAACAATATCAAATTATGTTGATGATAAAGCTCCGTTTTTAACCCCATTTCAATTTCCGCATTCATTATAAAATCATTCATCTGCACACTGAAAAAAATTTTATATAACATTTTATAACATAATTTTATATAACAGCAATTATTTTTATTAAAAATAATATTATTTTTTATTAATTATTTAAAATTATTTTTAGAATAAAAAGAAACTAAAAATAATATTCTTCTAATTAAATTTTCAATATTAAATGAAAAAAAAGAGCAAAAGACGAAAAAAATTAATTTAAAGGAACAGGAAACATGGTACTTTTCTTCCCTTTTGTGTGCTCGTTTTTGGAAAAAAAAAATTCCCTTAAAAAATAATTATTTTTCGTTTACCTCATTTTATTTTTGTGTTCTAATAACTACTTTTATAAGGATATTAATTAAATATTATATTAAATATTAATTATAAATGAATTAATCCATTAAAATTTACATAATTTTGTTTTTTC